CTGTAATATTCAGCAATAGATTTGTGATATTGGACAAGTAGTGGCCCACAAGAAACAGAAAAAATGCACGGAAAGAAATGTACAAGAAAGAGAGTTTTTTTAAATTATGTTAGGCTGATAAAGATGTTTTAAAAATAAATAAGAAGCGGCTAAGATAGCGTTAAACATTTCAAAATATAACACATTACCCTTCAGTCCCCCAAAGCGAATGGCAGATTGGATGGGGGTTGTTTAATTCTGAAGTGATTTGTATTTTTCAAAACAATTCTAATAAATACAGTCATAAGCAATAATTTGCTGCGAATGATGCCTATGTGTAATACATAATCACAGAAATCGGTATAAATGTTAGAATAAAAATATATTTAAATTTGTTAGCGCAGTAATTGTTCCTGGATACATTACATTCATTGAGTCCTCTTTTATGCAGGTCTTGATTGATTTGATCGATTACAAATATCGGTAAAGCTATTTCCAATCAATTCATCGTTTTATTATTTTTAATATTTTGTAATTCATATTTAAAATCTTGTTGTGGTAAAATAATGAAAAAATATCACTACATTTAAAAAAAATCCAAAATATGTATATGCTGTTGAAATAACTGTCATATTTTAAGAAAATAATATTTAGACATTCATGAATTCATGTGGATGTCAATATGAGTTGAGCTAGCAGTGTTTGATGCATATTTCTCTACTACAGTTTAGTTGTAAATGTTATGTTCATTGAAACATTTATTCTCCACGCAGAGAGCTGCGGGGCGTTGCGGGGCGAGTGTGAGGATCCAGACTCGGAGAAGCCGGCCACCAAGCAGCAGAGGACCAGGAGGAAACCCCGCGTGCTCTTCTCCCAGACTCAGGTGTTTGAGCTTGAGCGGCGCTTCAAGCAGCAGCGTTACCTGTCCGCCCCGGAGAGAGAGCACCTGGCCAGCTCTCTGAAACTCACCTCCACCCAGGTCAAGATCTGGTTCCAGAACCGGAGGTACAAATGCAAGAGGCAAAGGCAGGACAAGAGTCTGGAGATGGCAGGTCATCACCATCACCACCACCACCCACCGCCGCCCAGGAGGGTAGCTGTGCCGGTGCTGGTCCGGGACGGGAGGCCGTGTCTGACTGGATCACAGAACTATAACGCTTCTTACACAGTGGGAGCTCCAAACCCATACAGCTACAATGGCTATCCTGCATACAACTACAACAACTCGCTGTATAACACTTACTCTTGTACTTATTCGAGTTTGCCTGCTCTGCCACCCAGCAACACCTCTGCTAATGCTTTTATGAACATGAATTTGGGAATTATTGGTGCACAGACGCAAAGCCAGGCGCCCCAAGGACCAGGAGTCCCAGCCTGCCAGGGAGCTCTGCAGGGCATACGGGCATGGTGATCAGGGCCGAAATCATATCTTTGCGTGGGGCCTCCAGTTGGCCAGGACGGCCCTGATGGTGATGGTAGCGCAGTCTTTACGCACGATCACAGCGGGGAGAGACTTCTCTGAGATGAATAAATGGACTAAATGGCTACACCAGATCGACAAATGCAACGAAAGCACAACTTAAATCTCTGTAACAACAACACAAGTAAAGGCCAGCTGTAATTCAAGGCAGGCCTGTGAGGAAACCCTAACTCGTTGACTGATTCAAACCAAAACAGTATGCGCATTGTTCTTAGAAACGTATTAATAAAAAAGTATTAAACCTGCTGTTGGATATTTGATTGTCGGATGTATGTTGCAGAAGAAAAGCAGATTTCGTCTCAAATTGTTGTATGTATTATGCGATACATAATACATATATAAATTATAAAATTATAATAAATACATACAAATGTATGTATTATGCATATGGTATATAGTCCATAGTAATTAATAAAAATAGGACTAAAATAATAATACAATCGCATCATTGCAAGACAATGCATTCTTAAATTATTGTGATTTTTGCCTTATTAAAAGTTAGATCTATTTTCGGCCAAAATACTTTGTATTACTCTAAAATTGGCTAAATTAAATGAACAATGTGACCTGATGCTTAAAGTCTGGTTACACTCAAGCTGCAATGACGAACATTATCGCCAATAATGACATTGTGTGTGCGTGCGTGCGTGTGTGTGTGTGTGTGTGTGTGTGTGTGTGTGTGTGTGTGTGTGTGTGTGTGTGTGTGTGTGTGTGTGTGTGTGTGTGTGTGTGTGTGTGTGTGTGTGTGTGTGTGTGTGTGTGTGTGTGTGTGTGTGTGTGATATACAATATATATTATGTAGGCCAATGTGAAAATGCGTTTACGATCTTGTAAGAGCATTTACTTGCATCTCAATCTTAAAGTAACGTCCAGTTCATCTTATTCTATATTTACGTGAGGTTTCTTATCGTCTCCAATCGTTTCTCAAGCGAAGCAAACTCTTTTTGACTGTGAGAAAGTTGGGTAGACTTTAGTTTGAGACAAGAACCAGAAACAGAGAGAATTTAGAGGCGAGCTAATGTCCGGTCAGGATTCAGAGATGGACATTAACCAGACAGCCATCGGGACCCACACAGCGAATAAACTCGGAGCTTGGATGATAAATAGTGTTGGGAATTGTTCTCTTCGGTGATGTATGATACTGACAGAGACAAACATACAACATATATGTATAATATCGGCCAGGCCTATATTTACAACAATAATTGTTGTGATTATTATAATAATATTAATCATAATAATAATAATAGGAAATGGTTTCAATGATATAGCAGTCATTGTTATGATATATTATAACATAATCCTTTAATAATTACCCACATTTTCACTAACTGCACTCGAGGACACTCAGTGTTAATTGGAGATGAGTTAAGTAAACACCTTCACCTCCGAATACGCAGACACTATTAATGGAGATGAATGGCAACGTAAACAGTGTTTGTCTCCTCTGATAGCCTGACTGGCCACTTCCCCTGGCTACTGCTTTGCCGGTAGGACATACCTGGTGTCAGCTCTAAGTGCTGCACAGTCACTAGTGTAAATAGAGCTGGCGACAGGACGGCGAAGCCTGAGGACGCGGCCTGGCCATGGCTGCTCTGACAGGCGCTGCGATCACTATCTTTCCCCTCCAAAGATAGCAGCGACCATCGCTGCGTAAGGCGTGGAGTTTCCCAAAACAAAGTCTCCAATGGCAACCACTTGAGGAGCTCACAAAGGAAGAAGAGCCCAAATATAGATATATAAAGTATATATATATAAAGTGCGTGGAGAAGCAAAGGCTCCTAGGTGTCAACCTGGTCACCAAGATGGCATCAGATGTGGAAAACCTTGTTCAGGACTATAGCGAATGCATTTCAAATGTTACCTTTATTCATCAATGTCAGAGTAAGGCTTCTGGTCAAATTGAATATGAAATTGGAAAGGTTTAAGTATAGAGGGTGCATGCACAGTGTACAAATACACCTGTGTTCACTGTAAAATGATTGGCTTGACTTGAGTGTGAAAGCAACTTGATGCAGACTCACCAGACTCAAATATTATTTCATATTCGAGCGAAACATAAATGATATAATTTTCTCAAATGATCGAAAGCAAAACACATGTTCAGTAATTGCTATTGGTCTAAAGAGATGTATTCAATGCTTATTTCGAGTTTCCAGGTTGTGCGCGTCAAGGAACAAAACACAAAGGCAAAGTAAAGTGAAGTCGAAAATACGAGTATGGACACAGTTTTTAAAGAGGCATGTTGCCTACAAACCTGAGTAAGTGATCGGGTACATATAATCAATTGCAACAGCGTGTATTGCAGAAATAATGTTACTATTGGCCTAAATTCCCCCAAGCTATTCCAATATGCTTTTCCCAGAGTCAAATTATTGGTGTGGATATCATCTCGTAGTGTGAACACATGTTCATTGTGCCTCCATGTTTCCCATTCCGGACGTGTAGTGACATTCTGGAGCTGATTTGTACTCAAACAGAGAGATTGTTTCCGTTTAGTTACTGGACAAAAACAAAACAACACGAAGGAGGCAGATCCGTCCATCTGTCATTGTGTCTCTGTCATGAAGGACGGGTCTGTCGACTGTGCAAGAGTGCGAGTGTGTGTAAGCAAAAAAGAGAGAAAGGGGAGGGGTGTATTGGTGGAGTTGCCATCTTCTGTTTTTAAGCGCCTCTTTAACTTTGAGCACTTTGGGCACCATGCATCATGACCACACGGTGGCGCTACTCATCCGTTTGAGTAACATGACTAAAAGTCCTCTCTTCAGACAATATCTATAAGGTCTCTTTCAGTTATTTAGTCAAATACAAAATAATAAGTTAAGGGATTTGCTTTCATATATTATAGTTTTGATGGCGTTACAGCTCTCAGACTAAATAATTTAAAACTTAAAAACAGTATAAATACAAATGAAAAAAAATATCATATCATTATTATCAAGAAAAATGAAAAAAATGCTGAGATTCTCAGTAACGATTATTGCATTTTGTTGAGATTAAAACATGGATTGAACCTTATTTAGCTATTTTATTTAGAAAGAGGGTCACATTGAAGTTTTACGGAATATAATCATTCGTATAAATTCGGCATGCTGTGGAATTGTATAAGGGTTTATAACCACTTGCATATGAAAACCTGCGTTTTACGCACGCTCAATGAACTTTACGCATCAGATGTTCTTACTACAGTGTTCATATAATTGATATTTGTAATACTAATCACAACTTCCACTTGTAACTAAAGAGCTATTAATCTTTTTTTAAATAATTAATTTGGTTCTTTTAAAAATTCCACCTCAACAAAGAGTAATACCTCGTCTGTGAAATGATTGTCCGTGGTCCGAGCGCGTGGAGCTGGGCGGTTCGGAGGAGGGACCAGCAGAGTCTGTCCTATCAAAGGTTAACTGCTGCTGTTGCTGCTGCTGCCCAGAATATAGTAAAGATCTGACAGCTCCTGGTGTAGTCTGTTCATTAGCAGTCCGGACTGAGCTCACCACAATTAAATTAGAGCAATTACTGAGAGCTGTGAAACATCGATCAGTGAGGACTTTTGTTTTGGAGAGGCTGATCTCTCGATGTCTCCAAGTAAATCTCATGCGATCCTGAAGAAATATCCCTGCTCTCATTAAAATCATGACATTGAGTTTTTCGTCCTTCTCCATAAAAGACATACTCACCGGACGTGATGCCCAGGAGAAGCCCGATAGGAGTGCAGATGAGATCTGCGCACTAAAGCGCAACATCTGCACAGGGCATGGCACGAGGGTCCCCGGTCTATCTAAAGACGCGGATGAGAACCCCCTCCATCCGGGGAGACTCCCCGCTGATCTAAGGCTGTCTGTGGGAAACCTCCGATCTGTTACTCTCAAAGAAGAAGCCACAGGAGAGGAGACTGAACTCAGAGAAGGTGAGCCGTTTTATTCTCCCCGTTAGTAAGCAATTATGGCTCTGGTGTCTGGTTTTACATTCAAACTAAAATGACAACTTGTTGATAATTTCGCTTGTTACTTGTAAATTAATGTAAATTACACTTGCCCTCATTTGCATATTGAAGTTAAAATTATTGCACATTTAAAAAGAAAAAAGATAAGAAAACCTTGCCTTGAATAGTGATTAATTTGTTTCACCTCAATGGCCCATTTGTCTAATATTTAAGAAATAAAATATGGGTTTGATTCACAGCAGATGTGTCTTTATGAGGAAATGTTTGCATTTATCAAATTTTCGATAAAACAAAAAATGTGAATAAGGGACAGTTATATACTGTGTGTTACGAATATTCAATGTTATAGATATACATGTACGTTAAAATGTGTGTTTGAGAAGGGTATTGTTGCTGTGGGACAGTGCTATAAAATGCAACCAAGAGGTTATTATCCATTCCATTATATACCTGATTTGTTGTGTGAAAGGGATGAGGAAGAGGAAAGCTTGAAGGGACCTCTCAGCCAGCAGCTTTAGTGGCTTTAGGCTTTTGACCAGCATCTTGACAGAGAAACACACACCTATTGTCATCTCCGTTGTCATAGGCGCTACCGATCAGCAGCAACACTGTGTGGATCCGGATAAACGTCTGAAAGAAGAGGAGGAGGCGGAGGAGGGAGGCCACCTCAGCGGGGAGACGGTGAGATGTTCGGCCGATGAGCAGCAGTGCATGCCGGGTGCGAAGAAGCGCTCCCGGGCGGCCTTCTCTCACGCACAGGTCTACGAGCTTGAGCGTCGGTTCAACACGCAGCGATATCTCTCCGGTCCAGATCGGTCCGGCCTGGCAGACGCTCTGAAGCTGACAGAGACCCAGGTGAAGATCTGGTTCCAGAACCGGAGATATAAAACCAAACGGCGCCAGATGGCAGCCGAGCTGGTGGCGTGCAGCTCACCGAAGAAAGTAGCAGTACAATTGCTGGTGAGGGACAATCAAAAGTACTATCAGGCCAATGGACTACAAATCCCAGTGACTGTGCCTCTGTACCAGCAGGCCTATCGGTACCAGCCCTGCCTGCACTACTACTGCCAGCCCTGGAGCCTGGGCAGCAGGTCCTGTGGGGGGATGTTCTGAGCTGTTGCTGAGGACACATTACCTGGACAAGTTAGGGTCTCTGCACTCAACGTGTTGGCAGCTTTCTGTATGGATCAGGCTATTGTCGGACTGACTGGGATTGTACATATTAATTTTTTTCTGCGTTATTTTTTCTAGAAGCCAATTTAGCATTTTGGCCTGTTTTTCAGGGTTTCTAAAATGCCAATGTCTTACAGCATGACTATTTCAAGCTATTCAGTGATTCAAGGCAATTGAAATGATAATGATAATAAATCATCATTATTATTGTAAAATATATAAGTGTTAGCCTTCAGTAATATAGTGTGGGCATGACAAAGCTCTGTCAATTGATACAATTATAACTGTGTGACAAAATGTTTTATATGAAAGGAAGAGTTGAGTGTGGTTATTATTTTGTAATGATTTACAGCAAAAATAATTATGTAAAAGCTAACACTGCTGATCTGTTCTTTAAAAAAACGAAACACGTTTTTGTTTCCATCTATTTGGTTTATTAATATTATTCAATCTATTTAAAGACACAATTTCTGTTGAAACATGGGTGGGTTGTGTTTGTTTTTGTGTCATGGGGAAGGGCTGGACATAGAGAGAAGGAGAAAAGCAATGAGTTGTATAAAACCTTTTTGACCGGTTTTTTCTATTTCAAGGACAAATTCCAAATTAAGTATTATCAATGTTAGGGAGGGAGTTGCAACACTGAAATGTAAGATGTAGCCTAATACTCCTCCACACTCCTGAATATTTCACTTGGAGTGAAAAAAAAAAAAAATTATATTTAATACAAATACATCTTTCAAGTTCATCATAAGCATTCATTCTTAAACATTTGGCAAATAACACCAATAAGGCAGATTATAAGACAGTGGGCCCCATATGAGCAACATGGATTTCTCAGAGTTTATGTGCAAATGAAGTTTCACAGCTGCACAAAAGTCCAATTTATCTGATGGGATAAACACTCACTCGCTCCATTATTGAGATGAATGACTAAAGCTATTTGACTATGTAAAAAAGAAAAAGTAGATGTGAAATAACTCAAGAAGATTTAAAGAGAGGTTACGTTTGAAATAATTTGCAAATTATCTACAAAATATATCCGTGTAAATATATATTTAATCAGCCTGCCCCTCCTCATCCAAAGCAATGGCTCCTGCCTGGCCCATATAGGATCTATATGTTCTTCCTCTCCTTAACGACAGCCAGTTACAGTCTCAGAGACCAGACAGAGCAGAAAGGAATCCTGAATTTATACAAACCCAACAAGAGAAAGTATCCTTAAAAACATGGCAGAGACTCTGACACTTTTAGAAGGTATCTATTTTATTTATGGGATATCTTTGTTGATCATAAAACTCAACACCTTCAAGAACACATTCTTTACATTAGGTTTATGGACCTTTGGGAGAGTGTCAGTATTATAAATATAATGTACCGTAAAAAGTTCCATGCAAAGAAATTCTGCCAACAGCCTATTTCATTTAAAGATGTTAACAATATACAAAACGGCCACATTTAAATAACTTATAAAGATGATTTTTAGTTTTTTTTTTTTTTAAAGAAAGGTGTCTTTTAAGTTAAGTCTTTTAGGTGTGTTAAGAGTCCTAGTCTCAACTGTACACTGCATGAGTCAGAGAGGGTCATTAGACCGTGGAGACGTTGCACCATCCAGCCACAAGACAGCTCACATTAATCACGTTTTCCCGAAAAGATTGCACGCATCTTAACGACATGGACACAATGGCCGCACTTGATAGGAAAATAAAAAGTGAATTTCTTAACCTGAACGATGTACTACAGAGATTGAGTGGTATCGTGTCTATATAAGCTAAGCAAATATTACAAAATGTAAACATTAAAGACATCAAAATTATTCAAATAGGTACTTAAACTTCCCTTTTCCCACCACCAGCTGCTTTGGCAGAGAGGGTCACCTTTGCCACACGATGGCACCAGCCCAAACCTCATTTATCTCTTATATCAAAACACCACTTCAAACTCTCCTAAGTGGTTGATACAACACGTTTTTGAGAGGGAGGACTCACACACATAACACTCCTTTAGACTGTCTGACTGGATATCACCAGGGCATCACTAAGTCTAATTATTTGTACACACACACACACACACACACACACGCACACACACACACACACACACACACACACACACACACACACACACACACACAAACACACACATACACACGCACGCGCTCACACACGCACGCACACACACAGGATTATTGGCTGTTCAAGACAAAGATGACTAAGATGCAACGGAAAAGGTCATGGTGTTGCATTGTGTATGCGATTGTCCATGAGCTCTGATTAGTCACATTGTGCTGTTGAATAGCTGCTCTAGTCACTGCGTTCTTCCATGACTAGATAAGATTTTTCTTTCTTTTCTTGCACCCATTGATGTCATAGATTTCCGTAGACAAGTAACTGACAACTGAGTGACACAACAAAGAGATCATTTTGAGTCTTTACTTTGAAGATAATTGAGGTATATGTTTTCATGTGCTTAAGCCTTTATTTGTAGCAGTAATGATACAATTATTCCCAATTGAATTGATTAAATCTGGGAGTATGGCAACAGACAATAACACATCAAAACTCAAGCCATGTCATCCATTTGTTTTACATTAGATTAAAGGTTAAACTAAATGTGCGTACATAGCAGAAGTGTATGCATGTACAGATGTACATGTGTTTATGCCTTTGAGTGTACAGTATAGTAATCACTAGGGAAGAGCTGTTTACAAAGGAAAGTTTAAAAAAGTAATAATTATAACGTTTCCCTTTCTCTTCTCATACATATGATTACCCTTTGGATTAGTTTAAAATCTGTATAATTGTCTGCCTGCTGGAGTTTCTTGCCCTGTCAGACGTCTTTGCTACATTCCCTCATCTCAGCAGTTGTGTGCTGTTGCAGGCAGTAGTCCACTGAGCCTATAAGCATTACTGCATGTGTAAATATGTAATGCTCAGGTATGTAAACACTTTGAGCTGTGCTTTATTTAGTGTGCCTCCGTATGAGTAGGCCCATAAAGCAGAGAGGGAATAAAAGGAGCCAGACAGCAGAGCAGGAGAACATGTCCATCTGCCTCTTTGAACAATCACTAGCACCAGCGTCCACTGAACAAAGCGTGACATTTAAATACAACTTGTGAATGGAAACGGGTACATTTGCTGTTGTCTTTTTGCTGCAGATTTCTCAGCTGGGAGGAATGTGTTGAGGGTGGGGCTGAGTTAAAGTGAGCAACACAGGAATGACAGCCCTCACCTAATCCATGCTTGGGTTGCTTTTAAGATCCAGATCTATTGATGGAGAATTCTCACAGGGCTCCTGAGCAGCAATTACACATGCATTTCCGATGTGCCTATTGAAACAGGAATTATTTTCTCAAGGGCCTTGTTGATTTAAACAATATCATTTTAACATAACCGCTCTTGGCACTGAGACTGTGACGGGTAATAGGAATGAGATCTAGTGCTCACACGAAAGCGAGACAGGGAGAGGCTTCCGCAGGTACTAATTCAGTTGTGGCTGCCAGTTGTTGATTGTTCGATCAGACACAATTGTAACAACCGCTGAATACTTGGCTTTGTGAAAAGGACCGAGCAGGAGTGTGCGTCGCTACTCTTAATGCGTTAGCCCTCGGCAGACACAGGGGCAGGACTCAGGAAGGAGAGGGGTCATGGTTAATACCTCTGTTTAAAGACAGAGCTGCTTCCCTCTGACCTGTGCGGAAACACACATACACACAGGCACAAACACACACGCACACACACACCACAAATAATCCCACCCAGAGGACTCTTCAGGCTTGTTCCAGAAACTATTAGCAGATAACATCAGTGCATGTAGGAATGTAAACATTTACAGTAAAGCTATAAGACATCAACTCCCCCTGGGGAAGACACATCTATCACGCCAACCGCATCAACACTCACAATCAACCTCGGTTTCAAAAGGAATACGATATCACACCTTTCCAGCACAATTTCCACCTTTTCTGTATGATCACTGTTTCAGTTTGGTAAAAAGCATCAATTGAGGTTTTTAGATGAGGATTCAAATGTCTGTCGTCATAATTAATGACATCATCACCCTACAAGAAATACAATCTTTGAACAAAATCCTCATGTTATATGTATCGTGATGCATCGGATTAAATGAGCGAATCCTTTTTTAATTATTAAAACATACTTGTGCCAAATGCAATATTAGATTCAAGAAGAATATTTTGATAGTTAAAAACATCTATTTAACATATGCATTTTAGACTTAATACACTGGAAATGTTTGGATAACACAAATCGTAAGCAATCCTGCAAACCACCACTACATCATCACAAATAAATACCATGCAATATCATCAATGATTCCTAATACCACTGTTTGGAAATACCAGAATACAAAATAAGAAAATGGATATTCCAAAGGAAGTGCAGCACGCAAGTGTTGATAAATAATTCAAATGTCAACGTGATAAATTAAGCTTCCAAGAAACAAACTATTTGGAAGTCTCCTGAAACTTGGTTTACATCTTTTGACAAATCTTGTTTTGAAGCTTAAGGCTGAGCAGAGCCCAGTTCTTGTTGCAGTGGTCAGAGCATTGTGCCTGCAGAGAGACGCAGTGATCCAGCTCTGTGTCTGTCAGAGCAGGGGTCATGGGGGGATGAGAAAAGATAGAGAGATGAGCCCACCCAGAACACAGGCTCATCTGAAGAAAGTAACACAGGTCTGTGTGTGTGTGTGTGTGTGTGTGTGTGTGTGTGTGTGTGTGTGTGTGTGTGTGTGTGTGTGTGTGTGTGTGTGTGTGTGTGTGGGTGTGTGTGTGTGTGTGTGTGTGTGTGTGTGTGTGTGTGTGTGTGTGTGTGTGTGTGTGTGTGTGTGTGTGTGTCCATTAGGAGTAGATTTGGGATTAAAGGCTGAGAGTTTAAGTAGAGGCAGATTACGAAACAGCACAAGGCTCACGCAGGAAAAAGACACAAACAAACAAACAAGATACCACAAAACGTTCCCATGCCCAACACCTTATTATCTGTATGTCCTCTTTTTTAGCTAAGCACCACAGGTTCATTCACAATTTTGACAACGTCTGCATAACAAATAAGACAAATAATGAATTCAAACTTTGAGTAACATATGTTGAAGGAAGTGTAAAGGGCATTTGAAATAGCTTGTCAACCAGTGGATGATGGAGAGTTTGTGTTGAGCTCCTCTGTCCATAGATGGACAGGAAGTCTTCCAAGTTGCCACATGTCCTTCCTCTCCGCTCTCATGTCTCCCACACACACATGCTCAGACAGACACACACTCCTCCAGAGCCGGCCGGAGGAATCCAAATGTTTTAATTAGCCGTGATAAGCCGAGACAAGGAGAGCATTGAGCAGCTCCGACACACAGAGAGACGACTCCTATCAGGGGGCAGATAAAGGAACTACTCAAGCCCACTTACGGCCTCTCAT